ACTACATACATGAATGCGAGTTATTTCACTTACACAACATCAGCATTTCCTGTTTTGACAGTTACATAGTTTGGGTGACATATACTTTAAACCCATGCCCCATAAGGACATACATTTCAGGTTTATTTATGAAAAGTGAAATAAACTGAGTACATCCTTTCCAAAGCATTCCAGAGATAAGGACTCTTCCATTCATCATTACCACTAGAACATCTACCAAAAAGTCTTTCATTACCACGTTTGCAAAGGAGCTTACCTGGGTCATTTTTCTATTTGTCTAGGCATACCCAACAAAGAGACAAAATGTATTATAGTAGTGCTGCCAAATTCCCTCCTTCTCAGGCAGTATTTTTGCAAGCTGAATATACAAATAACTTAATGCCCAGTAATCATGCTTCCACATTTCTTTTTATTTTTTGAAGTTGTATTTGTTTTTTTTTTTTTTAAAGATTTATTTTTATTATTTTGTTATTGGAAAGGCGGATATACAGAGAGGAGAGACAGAGAGGAAGATCTTCCATCCGATGATTCACTCCCCAAGTGAGCACAACGGGTCGATACTACGCCGATCCGAAGCCAGGAGCCTCTTCCGGGTCTCCCACGCGGGTGCAGGGTCCCAAAGCTTTGGGCCGTCCTCGACTGCTTTCCCAGGCCACAAGCAGGGAGCTGGAAGGGAAGCGGGGCTGCCGGGATTAGAACCGGCGCCCATATGGGATCCCGGGCGTGCAAGGCGAGGACCTTTAACCACTTGCGCCACCGCGCCGGGCCCTGAAGTTGTATTTGTTTATGTGAAAGTCAGAGTTACTTAGAGAGAGGGAGAGATCTTCCATCTAACTGGTTCATTCCCCCAAATGGCCACAATAACCAGGACTGGGCCAAGTCGAAGCCAGTAGCCAGGAGCTTCACACAGGTCTCCCACGTCGGTGGCTGGGACTGAAGCACTTGGGCCATCTTCCACAGCTTTCCCATTAGCAGAGAATTGGATCAGAAGTGGAGCAGCTGGTCCTCCAACAGGCTCCCATCTGGAATGCCAGGCTTATAGGCAATGGTTTTTGCCTGTGATGCCACAACACCAGCCCCACTACTTCCACATTTCTACCCAGCAGAAATGCACTATTGAAGTACCAAAAGACATGTATTCTGTCTTCACATAGCACTCTGTCAGTAGCAGCCAAACTGGAGACAACCCAAATTGTCTAGAAACAAGAGAAATGGCAAACGCATTGTTGCATACTCTTAGATGGAATAAGATAGCAATGCCAATTAATAAATTACTTCTATACCCAACAAGGTGAATGAATCTTGCAAACAACCTTTGTAAAAGTATCAAAGTGTGCCTTCTGTCTTAGTGCATCCACATAAGTATGCCTCAAAGTCTACAGTGGTCGCTTTTAAAGACTCTGCTGACTCTGGCCAAGGGCTCCAGGGACCCAGATAATGTCCCACTGGTTCACTCCCCAAATGCCCACAACAGACAGGACTCACTGTTGGTGCGTCCAGAGCCAGGAATCTAACCCACGTCTCCCATGTGGATGGCAGGAGCCCAACTGCTTGAGCTATCATCACTGCTTTCAGAGGCTACACTTGCAGGAAGCTGGAACTGGGTGCTGGTGCCAGCACTCAAACCCAGACACTTCCACAGGGGACACAGAATTTCAACTGGTGTGTCAAACACAAGGCTAAACGTTCACCCCTCTACCACTTAACTTGAACGTGGCTACACAAAGGGATTACTGTTGTCACAACCCATTGATAAGTATGGTTACAATCTCTTCATCTGCCCACTTGTCTGTCATCATTTAATATCTTTTTGTGTTGTTTCATTTTCAAGATTTATCTATTTTTATTGGAAAGGCAGATATACAGAGAGGAGAAGAGACAGAGAGATTTTCCATCCACTAGTTCACTCCCCAAGTGGCTGCAACAACCATAGCTGAACTGATCTGAAGCCAGAAGCCAGAAGCTGCTTCTGGGTCTCCAAGCTGGGTACATGGCTCCAAGGCCTTGGGACATCCTCCACTACTTTCCTAGACCATAAGCAAGGTGCTGAGTGGGAAGTGTAGCAGCCAGGACAAGAACCGGCACCCATATGGGATCCCGGCACTTGCAAAGTGAGGATTAGCCAATTGAACCATTGCACCAAACCCTCATCACTTAATTTCTAAGGTTTTATTTTAGTTCTTCTCTCATCATAAAGCCTACCGGAACTCTCAATCGCATCGTCATGAGTGGAGTCTTTGGGTGCTGCTTCACAGAAAAAAACTGTGGTACTGGGTGAAACTGAGGTACTGGGTGAAACTTAAATCAGCAAACCTTGCACACAACAGATCACCCCACCTAGAATGTATGGGTCTTGTCCCAATAGCTGGAGGCATGGAGAAGCAAGGAGACTGCTCCCGGAAAGACACGGTCCTGCAGGCGACAGCCTGGGACCAGAACCACAGCATCAGCTCTTTCTGGGGGTCTCCAGCCTGCCAGCCTGGACCACAGGCTTAGGACTGGCATCCCGCTTAGTCGCAGGAGCCGACCTCTGCAAGCAGATCATGTATACATCTGGCTGGCTCGGTGAGACTAGGTGTCTGACCACCCCTAAGCAGGAATTTTTCATATGCACATGTGATGTGTTTTGTATCCTCTGTTTTGAAGGATATACTAACCAACACGTCCTTCCCTTGTACATCTTTTGACAAACCAGTTCTCCTCCGCAAAAAAAAATCCTGCAGCGTTAACACCAAGCTCTGATGCTCCACCGGTGGCCATAAGGGTTACGACCTTGCCGCACACTGTCTTCTAAACTGGCATGACTTTCAGAAGCTTTTTTTTTCTAAACGTAGAAACGCTGGGTATTCCCAGAAGCAGATAAAAGGGTGGTCTTCCAAAATTGGGCCTTTTCCTCCCTGTTTCCTCTGTTTCTTCTTCAACTTGGGAATCATCCTCACCTTCCTCCAGAAACAAGTTCAAGGACAATCACCTACCCAACCACTCTGATCCTTAATCCTCCCAACAGCCTCATTTCCTCAGGAAGAGCCTGCGACTGGGGCAGCGTGCATCCCAGGTACACTGCGGGTCCTGGCCTGAGTCTCTAACCTGTTACCTTATCCACCTGTTTCCACCTCACTCCAGAACTAAAGCGTACAGTAGAAATGTTAGTCTTTACAATAAGAAGCAGCTTGTCCAGTTAAGGAACAAAAATATAATCACTGTGGTTGTTGTGCACTTGTTTGTCTAAATTAATCCTTACTGGTGCTACTCTAATCATGTGTCCTAAAGGCATAGGGAATGAAAAAAGCAAGTTTGTGTGAGACTCGTGTCTATGTGTAAATGTTAAAATCGATGCTTCAATAAGATACTAATTTAGTTCTTTACATTTCTACCGTAGAAGCTGGTCTTGGCTGCTACAATTTCCTCCTTTGGTGAACAGTATTAGAAACTGCTCGAGTTGGTTTGTGTTTCTGTGGACAGAGCCTGCCCTCCAGTGGCTGATACAGAAACTGCAGCGGCGCCGACTGTGCACAGGACATAGGGCAATTAGATAAGCTGGCTTTCCACCCAACAGCTTCAGTTTGTGGCTGCCAATTACAACTCCCCCTTCCTAAACAAGACACCTTCTCTGGAAAACAGCTGCGTGAGTCCTAAAACGTACTAACCTTGGGCTTTTCTAGTTGAGAAGAAAACAGTCTTCCCCCAAAACGTGCTCTCTCAGGAGAAGGCACCACCATCTTAGTCCCAGCGCCCTCTCCTGGCCCACAGCAGTCGCCCACAGCGGTCACATGTCCAGCCCAGATTGCCAATTAACTAGTTTAGTTTCTCTATTCCTGTCAGTTGCCAAATCCCTCCCTAAGTGGTTTTTCTGTCTGCAGTCTTGTCTTGTCTTCATCCCTCCAAACCACTCTACTTTTGACACCCAATGAACTTGGTATAAATGTGCACACCTCCCACACATTTTTGACGCTATATATTATAGACAATGCAGTTAGAGTCCATTTGAGATGGGAGACAGAATACTCCCTGCAATACATAGAAGACAGGGCAAAGATCTAAATGAAAATTCAGATGTAAGTCAGTGTGACTTGTGGTTCGTGTGTGTGTGTGTGAAAGCAAAGTGTTTGTACAGACATGGATACATGAGAGCAGAAAGGGCCCTGATCAATAGCATAGCTACAGAGGCTGTAAGGTTAAAATTGACCACAAATTGTAGCAAAGGAAAATCATGACATGAAAGCGCTTGAGGGTTTTCTTCATCAAAGATCAAGAAGTGTTCCCCTTCTTCTGACATATTTTAAGCATAAATACGTGGGGGGAAATCAGAATCCTAGGACGGACATCAAACTCGAGTCACCAGGCATCTCTGGCCTTCAACTGAATCATCTGAGTAGTGGGGGAGGAATCAAACAGCAAGCATGCGCACCAGGCAAGGCCTGCCTCACCCACAGGTGAGCTTACCTGACCTCCTGGCGCAGCTGTTCAGAGTGATAGGGGGTCTTCCTTCCCTGGGCCACTTAAAGCCAACCTTCCTCCACTTTCTCTTTGAAGTTGTCTTTCTTTAAAAGACCTAAAGTGAAAGAGGGCGAGAGAAAGATATCTACTAGTTCACACCCCAAATGCCAACCAGGGCCTCCCAGCTGGGACCGAACCCTGGGAACTGAGGGCTCATTCCAGGTGTGCCAGTTGTGTGGCAGAAACCCAGCCACCTGAGCCATCCCCGGCTGCCTCCCGGGCGCTGTGTTAGCAGCAAGTTAGGAAAGGAGGGCTGCTGATTAAAGCCAGGAACTCCATTTCCTAACAGTAGCATTACAGAACAATATCTTCTCACACAAAATGCAAAAGACAAGAAATTTGGGCTCTATTGCCTTCTTTCATTCTTTCTCGCATCTGGTGTAAACGACCTGTGTGCACTATTCGAGTAGCGACAGCCCACAGGCCTGTGCCCCTGGAAAAGCTCACCCAACGTAAAAGGGCCGGCGGAGGGTGTTGATACGGCTTGCTTTGAATTTTTCCAGAGACAGACAGGTTTCCTCTGGTTTCGCTCCTCCTAGGGGCGAGGTGTGCAAGGGTTGCAAACAGAAGCCTCCTCCGCAGGGCACGCAGCCTGAGGCCTGCATGAGCTGTCTTAAGAGCCCGCGGGGGCAGCTGTGTCCACAGCGCCTTCACTTCTCTGACTTTGTGCCGCTCCTATCGTAGGTGCGGCCAAGGGCGCCATCACAAAGCCTGCAAAGGCCCCACAAAGCTGCAGAGACCCTAGCCAAGGCCAAGGCCAGGTTCCCAGGCCCGCGCAAGACCGCAGCTCAAGCAGCACAGCTGTGCCCGGTTCAATGGAGCTCTGTGCGCAGGCATGGCCGCTGGGAGGCGGCTCCCTACGAACGACTGTGGGTCAGCTACATCCCTAACTGGCCTTCCGCACAAACCCCCCTGCGCTGCCTCCTCCCTCCGGTCCCATCAACCAACACATCCCACTTTCCTGCCCCCCGCCCCCCGCCAAAGCCGTGTCCTCCTGGGGTCGCTCACCGCAGGCCCCAGCAGAGGTGGCCCTCGCCCTTAGGAACCCACCGGTCAGGAAAGAGCCGAAAGTCTGCACCCCTAAAGCCTGAGGAGAAGGTCACCGCGCGGGAGTTGAGGGGTGCGGGCCGTGACCTCCGCCCCTCCCTCAAGGTGGGAACGGCAGCAGGAAATGGCGCCCCCTGCCGGCCCTCCCCGCGTCCGCACAGCCACGTCCGGGTGACATTTCCGGGAGGACAGCAACCCGCGGGTCCTCCGGGGCCAGACCATCCCTCCCCCACTCCCTTCAGGAGACCCGGCGCCCGCGCCTGCTTCCCGCTGAGGGAGCGCACGGGGATGAGGCCTGGACACCCACAGGTTCTGACGGGGCCAAAAAGGAACGCTGAACTGCTGTCCAGGCCAGACCGCACCCTCGAGCAAAGCTCGCTTCCTGTCTCTCTCATCCCAAGGTCCGCCCGGCTGTGGCCTCTAACACGCCTCACCAGAAAGTGGGCTGGGAACTCCCAGGGGCCGTTGCCGTCATGTCCGGGGTAACGCCGTCATGTGGACACCAGCATCCCGTGTGGTGCTGATCCGAGTCCCGTCCGCTCCACTTCCCATCCTGCGTGTGGCCTGGGAGTCCTTAGGCCCACACACTCACATGGGGGACTTGGGAAGCTCCTGGCTCGGGGTTCCGGGCATTGCAGCCCTTTGGGGAGTGAACCAGCAGACAGGAGAACTCTCTCAGACACTCCCCGCCTCTCTCTCTCTTTAACTCTGACATTCAAATAAATAAGCAAAGCTTTTACAAAAGAAACTCCCTGAGGGTTTCGGCAGTAGTGTGAAACCGCTCCAACTGTCTAAAGAACAGCTGGACTACAAAATAAAACCCCCTCAGGGTGCTAACTGAAAACCGTTTATCCCAAGGTCTTTTTTTTTCTTTTCTTTCTTTCTTTCTTTTCTTTTTTTTCTTTTTTTTTTTTTTTTTTAATATATTTGAAAGCCAAAGGGAGAGAGCTAGTCCATCTGAAATCCACTTCCCCAAATGGCAACCAGCCAGGGCTGCACCAGAACAAAGCCAGGAGCCTGGAGCTCCATACAGGTCTCTCCCTGGGTCGCAGGTGGCCTAAGCCCTGGACTGCCTCCTGCTACTTTCTGAAGTGCATCAGCAACAAACAGGATCTACCAGGACTCAGAGCAGTGCTCACACGGGGTGCGCACTTAACAGGGCTGCCCCATCCAAAAATCTTGATTCCCCTCCCAGGTTCTTGCGCTGCTTTGTCTCAGACCAAGAGTCTCACTTAGCTGCCTGGGCAGATCCGAGCTCCTACTTCAGGAGCCACTGCCTGAACTTTCACACAAGGGGCTTCCTCCTCACTCACCTAAATTGAATTAGATATGCGAGTCTCTCCATTATACCACTGTCCAAGGAATAAACAGGAAACATAACACACCAAGCAACACCACGCCCTGGCACAAAATCTAGAAAATGCCCACGCCTGGCCCCCACTGTAGTTAATGCCAAACCCAGTTCTTAAACAGTTCAGAATAACATTAGGAGAAACACGCCATCGGAAACCTGACTGTGGAAGTGAGCAGTAGGGCTTTGTGAGCTAAGCCATCACCTGGAACGCCTACATCCCACATCCAGAGGGCCTGGGATCCAGTTCCGCCACCACTTCCTATGCACTCACTGCCGATGAGCCTTCGAGTAATCGAGTTCCTGCCACCCATGTGGGAGACCTGGCTGGAACTCCTGGCTCATGGCTTCAGCCTGGCCCAGCGCCAGCTGTTGTAGGCATTTGGGGAATGAACCAGCAGGTAGAAGATCTCTCTCTCTCCTTTCCAAATAAGGCAAAAAGAAATCGTTTTTAAATTGTGTGATGTTATGCATTCCTCTCACTAGGAAAGGCCACTGTGATTGGGACAGTCCCTGTCTGACACCTGCCATGGCCAAAGTCAGAGCCAAAAAGAGCAGGGTTTGGGTTCTGTCTGAAGCGGAGGGTGGGCCTGTATCCTCAGTTACAGAAGGAGAGGACACCCTTGGATCTGTGGCCACCATCTCCTTCAGCTTCATTTGCTTTTTGTTAAGAACTGTGGCAATTTGACCAAGATACTATACTTGTGAAAAGAATGTAAGCTGTTAGATTCATTGATGTAAGAACGAGCTTCTTAACTCTCCCAGCACAGAAAAAAAAAATCCAGAGGGCTTTAGCGTTTACCACGAGGCTGGAAAATCTTGACTTTGACGGAGGTACCTGTGGTGCAGGAGTCTGGTTTCTGCGTGGGCACCAGTGTAGACTAGTGTTCCCAGATCCAGTGGCTGCCTGGGCCCCTGGAAGAGCCAGAAGACGCAGGAGGCTCTTAGGAAAGTGCACTGGACCTGGCCCATCTTCATCCTCATCGTGTCCTTGCCAAGGGATGGCCTCAGTCCCATGGAGTGCCCAGCACAACCCAGGAAGCCACCGCGTGCACCTGAGTTTCTTCAGTTTTACAACTGAGCATTTGTGTCCGTCACCACCCTCCAACATGCTAATGTCTGTGAGGCTTTAGTCCACCTTCTGCTTCCATGGCCTTGTAAAAACCCCCACCCCAGGGAGCGGGGAGAGAATACGCTCCCACCAGGAAGGACCAGGAGACACTGCCTTGCGCACTGCTAGTCTCCAGTACACACAGCAGGATCTCCGAGGAGCTGTTAGGGGGAAAAGCTATTAGGGCCAACCAGCAGGTCTGATGCTAGAAAGCAGCGGGGTCAAGAGCACATTTATCCAACAGTTGAGATCAGGAATTAAACCTTAAGGCTCTATAAAACAGCAAGTAGAAACTGAAGCATGCTTAAAGAAAACTCATGTGTCACCACTTAGAAGAAAAAATTTTTTCTTAAGTCAGATATGAATGCACAGTCACAAAATAAATATATTTTTTTCAAAGATTTTTTAGTTTATGGTAAAGGCACATATATAGAGAGGAGGACAGAAAGATCTTCCATCCACGGGTTCACTCCCCGAACAGCCACAAGAGCAAGAGCTGAGCTGATCTGAAGCCAGGAGCCAGGAGCTTCTTCTGGGTCTCCCACGCGGGTGCAGGGTCCCAAGGCTTTGGGCCGTCCTCGACTGCTTTCCCAGGCCACAAGCAGGGAGCTGGATGGGAAGGGGAACAGCCACGACACATGCACCCACGTGGGATCCCAAGCATACAAGGATAGGATTTAAGCCAGTGAACCATCTCACTGGGTCCAGCTCTCCCACTTCTAATCCAGCTTCCTGCTAATGCATCCCAGGAGGCAACTGATGATAGTCTGCGGGCTCAGGCCCCTGCTACTCACGTGGGAAACCTGGATTGAATTTCTGGCTGCTGGCCCCTGGCGTTGGACCAGCCCAGACTTTGCAGGCATCGAGGGCATGAGTCAATAGATTAAAAATCTCTTTCTCGGGCCCGGCGCGATGGCGCAAGTGGTTAAGGTCCTCACCTTGCATGCCCGGGATCCCATATGGGCGCCAGTTCTAACCCCGGCAGCCCCAGCTCCCTGCCTGTGGCCCGGGAAAGCAGTCGAGGATGGCCCAAAGCTTTGGGACCCTGCACCCGTGTGGGAGACCCAGAAGAGGCTCCTGGTTCCCGGCTTCGGATCGGCACAGTACCAGCCATTACGCTGACGGAAGATCTTCCTCTCTGTCTCTCCTCTTTGTATATCCGCCTTTCCAATAAAAATAAAATAAATCTTAAAAAAAAAAATCTCTCTCTCCTCTTGCCTCTTGCCACTCTGACCTTGAAATAGATGAAAGCAATAAACTTTAGAAATTTTTTTAAAAATTTAAAACAGATAATTTTTCTATGTAAACAGTAGGAAAAAAAATGCTTCGTTTTCATTTATTTTGCTTTAAAAGGAGACAGAGACATGGAGAGCTCTTCCATGATGTGTTGATTCACTCCCCAAACGCTCACGAGAGCCTGGTGGAGATGGGACAGGTCTCCACTGTGGATGGCAGGGAAACTACTGCTTCAGCAGCTGCTCTAACCCAGAGTTGCAAGAGCGGAAGGGTAGACTTGGAACAGAGCTGCAACACACACCCAGGCACGGCTCACTAGAATGCAGGGGACCCACACGGCCTCTCAACTGGTTCACCTCCTTAGAGCACCGTGTTATCATTCTCTAACGCCAGCTCCACCTCTCACTCTCGCGCTGCAGCCATGGGGAAGAGCGGTAAGTAAGGAGGTGTTCATGACTGCCCACAGAACAACTGGTGGTAAAGCAACCAGGAACTAACGGGCTGCAAAAGCTGCTGGTGAGGGTGCGCCCTCTTCTGGCGAGGTGAAGAAACTGCACCGTTAGGGGGCTGGTCCTGTGGCTTTCAGTAAAATTGGGGATGTCAGATGTGCACTGACCTTCTGATCCCCAAACCCTCTTCCAGCAACTGGCGCGGGAAATTTCTCAGAACTTCAAAACAGCAACGTGCTTCCAAGGCACAGCTCCTGGTGCTGCACAGGAGGCAAGTGTGGCCTGGCTGGCTGGCCAAACGTGGCACAATTTGCCAAGACAGCCCAGTAGCATTCCACATGTGTGGAGATTATGATGCAGAGTCCACTCTCAAGGGAAATATGTCACTCTCAAAAAGTTTGTTTCTTCTTCTTGTATTGGTAGTTCTGAATATTACTTTTT